CGTGACCGGAGTGACGTCACCTTCCTGCTTCCGACACCTCTACAGGGAGTGCAAGGGAGCTGTAGAAGCAATGCACGTCTGGATGCAGCTCCGTCACAGCACAGCAGCCCACACTGAACCCCTAAAAAAAATTGGGAGTCTATATGTGTGTGTGAGAATGTCTGTGAGTGTGTGAGATTGTGTCTGTGGTAGTTTGGAATTAAAACACTGGCAGACACACACAACAACGCAATCACACCTACTGTTTTCTGATGTGGGAAGTGCTTTGCAACTCATTTGAATGGCACCCCAAACACACCTCACGCCCACAGTTTGATCGCTTGCACCAGAACATGTGGTACTACTATGCTGTGTGTTCCAGTGAGCTGCGACATCGGTTGCGACTTAATGACCAAGGACAAATTTGGGTCCTGAGGTTAAATAGGTTGAGCACCACTGCTTTAAGAGATATTAGAGTCAAAAGATTTTTAAGTTATTTCCTATGCTGATGAAATCACTTACAATGAATGCTTCTCCTTGATGTTTAAAGGTTTTAGTTTCCTGCAGAATCAGCTGGTCCCCTGAGCTTGGGCCCTGATATCTTGTTTTAGACTCCTTTACCTTGGAGGGCCCTATGGAGCCACCCTTGTGTGTGCCAGTATGCTGTGTGCACAGCAAGGCAAGCTGTTTCCCTGCTCCTCCCTTCTCCAAGCTAGTAGATAGATGGCTGCTGGGATCTGCTCTGTCCCTTGTGATCGTGTACTAGACAGGAAGTTCAGGGAAGCCGAGCTAAAAGAGTTGGAGTTGTTTGGAAGCAACGGTAACTGCTTATGTGAAGTTATTAAGAAATACTTTGCTTTGCTTTGCCTGGATTCATAATTTGAAAACGTTTGAGAGCTTAGATTTATATAAACAAGCACTTTTGGGGGCTGAGCAGAGTCCCCTTCATCAGGCTCAGCTGAGCCTGATAAAGGGGACCCTGCACGGCCCCAAAAGCGCTTGTTCTGATGACATAACTTTTCATTAAGCGAACACTTTGGATTTCAAATTCTTTTTTGGTGTGCTGGTGACATCTATCTACAAACATTGTCTGGTGGCGCCTTCCGCAATCAATACAAGCCCCCCCATGACTGGGAATCTCTGGTAAGGAGTGCGACAAGGCAACTCTGCATTTGTTCTTGGCTCTATATGAACACAATACAACAAAATTACATTTAATATAGAAATTATTAAATGTTACCCATGATAACTTTTTCTTTTTAACTTAATGTTTTGCACCTTTTTATTATGATTTATTGGGCAGCCAAAGGACCACACAACTTACCTTTTCGTCTCTTTCCTTATGGGGACAGGCAGTGTCTGATGTCACACACAGCGGGGAATGTCTTCCCCATATGTGTACACTCCAATCAGCTGCTGTGCTGACATCAAGGCTCCTGCTGGTAGCCGCTGTCAATCAACCCAGAGAGGCTTAACAGGAGGCGTGTTGCTGATCCAATTATGGGACATACAGGCACACCGTGCTGGGGAACATGGTTATACAAATTGACCATGCCAGCATGGATCTGCTTCCGTACTTGGCATGGTCAGATTGAAGAATGGCAGAAGGGAAATTGGTAGGATCACCAGGTATTTCTAAACAATTAAAGAACAAAAACAATACAGGATAGAGTAACCAAAAACAAATTGAAAAACCGACACATATATTTCATAAACATTTTGGATGTGAAATACAATTTAAGGTTTCTTTAGAGTTTTGTGTTACTGTAACATTCAGCAATTCATGATGCCATTTATTTAGACTTGCACCCTAACAGATGAGTACAGCAATAGCCAAGGGACCCGTGCTGTGATGCACAACAGTGCACATGATCTATGTTGTAGTCTGCTTTTGTTGTGGCTTTTGATCTATTAGTGTGTGTTGATACCCCATGCAAAATGAATGGCCTACCTTAACGCAACTCAGGTCAACCTATGACATACCGCTTTTTAACAAGTGTGCAGTATGCACTGCAATAGACTGCAAAGCTCTGAAGGGGGTCTCAATTCTTACCTTAAGAATCCTTCCAATGTAAGCACTTTCTAACAGGTTGACAATTCAAACCCACACATTTGCATCATCACCCTGCTGTGCATGCTCAGACAGTGGGGCTACAGAATGTGCTGCCAATGCACAATGTGCCTGTAGTTGACACACGCTAGTTGGGCCATTGGCTCCGTCCATACCTACAGTGCTACAGTAACATGCTCATATGGCAGCCAAGAAGTATGACAATGCAGTCCATGACAATGCAGCGACTTGCATTGCACAGGCTTCCCCCCAGCCACAGCCCCAGAAAATGCAGGCATGGAACCCCTGTCACAGCCCTGGCACTGAAGACACTGATACTGTGATATAGTGGACATATTACAATTTAAACTCCTCTAAAAACTGGATACAAAAACTTTTTGGGGGAGGAATGTCCCTTTAAAGTCCAACTCCAGGTTCGCTAGGTCCCCCCAATGGAGAACCCACCCCTTTCCCTGCTCCCTTAGAGTACTTAGAATTTTTTGCATATGTAGTACCTTTTTAATATAAGCAAAAGAAGGTTAGGACAGCCCCAGCATGGCCAGAAAAGTAGTGGGTGGCAGCTGGGAACAGAGGAGAGGATGATGCGACGTTTAGCACTGCAGGGTAGGTTTTTTTGGGGTTTTTTTTAACCAGGACGGGGGGCAAGTGGAGGGATATTGGTTAAAAAACTAAATATTTGCATTCTGCTTTAAGTGCAAGTCACTTGGTAAATATTTTTTTTCCGTATGCCAGCAGAAATTCCATCATTTTAGAAGCATTGATTCAGTATGAACCCTGTTGTGTGCTGGGAGAACAAATTTTCTTTCCATAGCTCTTTATCCTATTTTATAACCAGATTGTCCTTCTCTATTACCTGTCCTGGCACGCTTGTGCTAATCAGCCTTCGGCTAATTGCATTTAGTTGTATCGTCTGCTGGCTTCTTACTATAACAAATAATTGGCAGTCGTTGGCGAATACGTAGGCAAAGTAATCAGATGTAATGCCTTTCTTTTTCTGCACTTAGATTATTCGGCTCATTAAAGGGATGCCAAGAAAATTAGTTCTAATGGCTTCCTGACATCGATTTAAAAGCAGGATGAGCGACGAGATGTTACCAGTAAATAAACCTCTTTAGGCTGGCTGTTTTTTACACATATTTTAGTAGGAACTGAGGAAACCAGTCGGACTTGGCTAATTCATTGCACCCTTATATATTTGGATTTTTCCAACCAAACTGACTTGGCTTCTGGAGTCAGCCAGCTAAGGGTTATCCAGTTGGACCAAACACGATGATGATCAGGTTCTCTTTAATGCTTGTTGAGCTAGTTAAAGCTGTGAAAGTGATAAGAGAGAGAATACACACATATGTGGCCTTCATGTGACTTAATCTACCTTTGAAATAGTGGATATCTAAATTATTATATTTTTTCGTTACTTTGATGGTCACAAGTGTATCATAAAACAACCTTATCTGTCTGATAAGCAGACAACAGAAGGGACACTTGTTTGCTATAAACACAGAGACATTTGTAGGCTGCAAGGCTTGTCCTCCCTCAAAACAAATGCCGAGTGCCAACCCATACAACCTCATGGCTCATACTTGGTGGAGGGTTTATAAAGGTTTTTAAGTCATCCAGGTCATGTGATATCTAGTAGGAGTAAGTAAAAAGAAACTGGAGTGGCTGTATACTCTTGAAAACATTCACTATAATTATATAACCATACAAAACAGAACCACTGACTGGTATAAAGTGCAGATGCCTAGATGTCAATCCATTCTAATAGGGCACCTTCTGATAGTGTTTTTCTGTTGGCCATCAAGGAGATCATCATAGTGATGGGCCAATGGAAATCTGTGAGTTGTGGAAGGAAATAAGCAAACTTTGACAACACCCGAAAGTTCCAGAGCTTTGCCCAACCAAGAATTTGGGTGAAGTGAAGGGGTCTGAAAGCTGTTGCAGGTATCATGCCTGTCCGTTTTGATGGCCAATTAAAGTGACAATGTAAAAGAGTCACTTTAAAATCGTTAAATATAGACCACCTTTAGCTTTGCTTATGGCACGCCTTCGCTGTGACATCATTTTAATAAGCTTATGCCACAACATTTATTTCCGTCCAGAGTTGCATTCATTTTTCACCAAGACCTTGTAGTGATGATGGGGGAGTCTTCTCCAGAACATCCCAAAGATTCTCAATAGGATTAAGGTCTGGACATTGTGGTGGCCAATCCATGTGTGAAAATGATGTATCATGCTCCCTGAACCACTTTTTGACAATCTGAGCCCGATGAATTCTGGCATTGTCATCTTGGAATATACCCAATGTACCATCAGGGAAGAAAAAATCAATTGATGGAAAATCCTGGTCATTCAGTATATTCTGGTAGGCAGCTGAGCTCCTTTTATGGGGACATAATATTGCTGAACCTAGACCTAACCAACTGAAGCAACGCCAGATCATAACTCTTATCCAGTGGAAGACTCTGATCTATGTGCTTAGCTAAATCCAGGTGGTAACCTTTTTTGGTCAGGCAGTGTACATGCATGTGTTACTGCATTTGTATTCTGTTTAGCCAGTCAGCAAGGTCATCTCATTGACCCCTGGTGCAGATGAGTTGTACCTGCCTCTAGACCACTATTTGGACAATGAAAGAACAGCAACATACAAATTAAGTCATCCTCGTTCGCTGCCATTTTTGTAAATTGCACTGTGCAAAGAAATAGAGTCATATTGGCTTTGATTACTGAACCTTTCTCAATGCCAATCTGAGTCCTGTACAGGAAGTTTATAAAATAGAATTATGGCAATTATACGGGCTGTAAGTAAAGCAATGTTGAACTATTGTATCTTGAATACTAACCAGAATAATGGTGCTCTTGCATCTGCTTGAAGTACAGCTTTACTGTAAATTAACTGTTTTATAATATTTAAATATAACCTCATCTAATCAGAAATGTAATTTTTCCTCAGGTGACAGTCAGTGATGGAGGTCCTTCACCCAAACAGTCCACAGCCTGGGTCATCGTTCATGTTCTGGATGAAAACGATAACAAGCCTCAGTTTCCAGAGAAAGTCTATCAAATCAAGCTTCCCGAGAGAGATCGGAAAAAACGGGGTGAACCCATTTACAGAGCCTTTGCGCTCGACAAAGACGAGGGCCCCAACGCAGAGATTTCCTACAGCATAGTAGATGGGAATGAGGATGGAAAGTTCTTTATTGACCCTAAAACAGGCATGGTGTCTTCAAGAAAGCAGTTTTCAGCAGGGAGTTATGACATCCTAACAGTAAGAATTCATTATCCATTCATTTCACGTTGTTTAACAGTGAGGCAAGGAGGTTATTTACAAGGCTAATGCAAAATCAAAACACTTCACTACCTACTTGTATTTTAAATTTGCAAGTGCAAGCGGCCAATTCCCCCGGGATCCTGAAAGGCTAGAACAGCGTGCTGGCATAAATGATACATTTGTCTTTAATTCAAAACAGATCTGCCGAACACTACGCTCAACAGCTTAGACGGCGAAGAACCAGAAATAGATCTTTTAAAATTCATTGGAACCGCCGAGTTTAATTTAAAGTCTCAGCGCTCTGTCCACACATTATCACCATTATTTATTAAATAATAGATGGCTTTGCTTCTTAATAGAATGGATTCTGTAGGAATATTTGAAGGTATAGGTTGGGGTTATGGAAAAAAAATGCATTTTCAAACTTCCTTGATTGAAACTTAGAAAAAAAGAGGGTTTTAGGATTTTCCTGTAAATGTGACATGGATAAAATTAATTGTAATAAGGTTACTCTAAAAAAGAAACATTTTACAAATAAATCAACATATAGTGCTGACCAGGAGAAAAAAACAACCTAATATCAAATTAGGAAAATACTCTGTAATGACGTGACCCCGACTTTTATGTTGTACTAAAAATATGGGTAAGAATAAATGTTTTATAACATAGGGAAACTTTTTTTTTTTTTACATTTATGGTACTTTTTTCATTATAAAGTAAAAACAAATAACCCCCCGTGGGGTCACAAAACAAAGCTCTATCTGTCCCCAAAATGTTTTAACATATATTGCAAGGCTATAGTCCGGTCATGCTGACTGGTGAAATTTTTGACTGACTGGTGAGACACCGCCAAATTTTTCAAGCCCTGTATATATACATACACATATATACATACACATATATACAGTATACACACACTGTATATATTAGAGTGCAGCATTTATTATTTTTAAGCATATTTGGGTTTCATTACTGTAATTAAAATATACTGATATTTACTGCCAGATGAATGAATTGAGAATTATAATTGGCCTGATTGTTCTTTTTTTCTGACTAAGGTTTTTGCTTTGTTATTTCAATATACTTAGAGATTAATGAATACAAATTTAACCCAAACAATATTTATTACTCAAGCAGCTATAAAATCTATTAAAAAAATGTTAATTGTGTATTAGATAAGGTTATGATATTGTTTGAGTATGATAGTTTATGTAGCTCTTATTTATTCTGTTAAAAAGATGACCGCTTGAACACATTTTTTGCATTGTGCTGCATGCCTACAGTATATATTTCCTCAATGCACACCAACACACTAGTATGGTGTGAACAAGGCACATAGACAGCAATTGTTTTTGCTGTGTCCTTCTGTTCAGTCTGCATTGATGAACCAAGATCAACACAGCTGAAAGCACCTGGTGTGAATGAGTACTTAAAGTGACACTAAACTCAGGAGTTAAATCTTAAAATGCATTCAAGTACCTTAACTATTAACAAAAATGTATCTTATTTGTGTATCACTTGGAGCAGTGACTACTTTACAACACACACAGGGACCATGGGGAACAAAAGTAGCCACCCTCCAGAAGGAAGGACAGTGTCAGCACCAATTCAGAGATGATTTGAGGATCTACAGCCGAGTGATACACAAATAAGATTAATTTATGTTAATAGTTAAGGTACTTGAATCAATTTTTAAGATTTAGCTCCTGAGTTTAGTATATGGAGTATTATGATGAGATATGGACAGCACATACTACTACAACTGCTGCTATTAGGTTTTTTTGAACACAGTATTCATATTTTGTATACTTGATTTGTCAGAATTTAGCTTCTAGGGGAAGCATTGATGTGTAGGCCAGATAGTGAAGTCAACTTCTCTGCTGAGTGACGACTGTAAGAAGATAGAAGACAAGATGAGTGTGTGGTGTTCCGTTAGACTTTGTGTATATGGGCAAAAAAAAAATAGTTTCATACAAAATAGCAGCAATTTTGACAAATTCAGCTGCAGGCTGGAATTTCTTTAAGGTATCTACTGAGGATCTATTTAGGGTACATACCTGCATGTCTTGGCTCCTATCAGGGAATCATTCAGCAATTTGATTGTGTGCTAATGTCTGACTATTGTCTTGGTGTCAGCAGTTGGTGAGCTAGACAGGTTTTGCTCAGTGAAGTCTTATTGTCTAACCTATCAATAAACTGTAAGACTTTTCCATTTCCAATACAGTTAAACAGGAGGTGTCTGTAATGAACAATGTTAAAAAATAGTGCAAATGTGTTTCTTGCAGATAAAAGCCGTAGATAATGGCCGCCCACAAAAGTCTTCTACTGCCCGTCTGCATATTGAATGGATTAAGAAACCTTCACCGTCAGCAACCCCTCTCACCTTTGACGAACCGTTTTACAATTTCACCATCATGGAAAGTGACAAGGTGACAGAAATTGTTGGTGTGGTCACCGTGCAGCCTTCAAATATACCTTTGTGGTTTGATGTAGAAGGTAAGATGATCACTTAGGGGGGAAAAATTAAAGTTTGGTCATGTTTTATTGGTTCAGGTAATTGGCTGCAACTTGAACACATCTCTCACATCATAATATTAAAGTTCTGTCATGTTCTTGTGTACTCAGTGATCAATGACATGCTTGCAGCAGCTGAAGAGAGGAAAAAAGGGCAATACACTAGACAATAGGGACTGAGCGTGAATCTAAAGGCCATAGCTATCTAAATGTGATAGTTTAAGTTTGTGTGGGCAATAGGTAATTTGTTCCTGGCCAGCGTGAATTTTGCATTTTTGTTTACTATCCAGTAGAGTGTGACTGATATTGAAATGCATTGTTCAGCTCTCTCATTTGCTCTCGTGTGGATAAAATCCTAGGATTAAATAGTAAATGCACTTGGGACACAGGAAGCTCGCATGAAAAGACAGCAGGTTCCACAGCTTTTTCTGTTGAGGTCATAGAGACCTATAAGGATTGGGGACTGTTTCCAGGCACAGTGCTGATGTGCTGATCCCAGCTCATTGCTGGGATCACCACATGTTTAATGTTTAATTTTTAACATTGTTTTTTGCACATCTTCATTCAAATCAGATGGTGGGGCAGCAGGGTTGGCTTTATTTTTTTACATTTTATTTAATTTTTTTACCACCTATTTTTTTTACTTTACTTTTTCTATCACAAAGGGGATAACAAGTCCCTATGTGACAACATTTGGAGGTGACAGGTCTATTAGACCTCTGCTGTCTCTCTTGCTCTCCAATATAGGAGACCACGCACAGGAGTGTGCTTGATCTAATGTGTAACCAGCACTTTAGCTGGCTTCTGACAGCTCTTTGAGCACAGCGCTTCCTGCTTCATTCATCACAGACCAGATCAGGGAATGGCCGTTCCTTGGTCTCCTCCAGCTCTCCACCCTGACACCCTCTGTCATGATCCCAGGAGCTCCAGAGGAGCAGGGGACCCTAAAACCCTTGAAGGAGGGTGAGGAGGGGGGCGTCACAATCCCTGGCTGGTACAAGTGATCTAGGTAGCTGTACAGCTTCAAGATCACTTGTAGTGGATAAGCGGGCCCTGCCTGATGTCACTAGTAGCTATTTCTGCCAGTGGTCCTACGGTAGCAATCTATGACTAAAGCGAAGGTGAGGTCTGCACTAGGTTATGGCTGGCAGATGATGCACCGGTCTTGGAGTGCAGGTCGGCAGAGTGCATGACCAAGTTCAGGTTCATACAGAACTGCCACTCGGTCTATATCCGGACCTCAGTGAATCATTTAGGGACCCCTGCCATAGATCAACTTTATAAATAGTGACAACAGTGTATCATGCCTGCACAATTTGTTTCTAACATAGGAACATATAGCTGTGTGACAATGCAGGCGCACAGTTAGTAGAAAGTTGTCACCCCTTAACAGGACATTCCTAAACAAGGACCATCATGAAAGGATTACCAAGTATTATTCTAATGTAATCTGAAGATTTAAAAAGATTGAAGGCAACATTTAAAATGACTAACTTGGTAAAGCTTTTATAAGTTTAGTGAATGGGCTTGGATCTACGTTACTCTGACAGCACACCAAAGCTGCTAAAAAGAGTAAAGAAAATACAATGAAAATTTCTCAATAATAAAGCTGCAGTGTTATAATACTTAAACAACATACATTTATATTACTCTTGAAACTCCAGTTCTTATCAACAATAAAAATTACAAAGTCACACACTGCAGATATCACACAGTTCTACTCAAATTGTGTTCTGCTAATTAAAATGTATGTCTAATGCTTATTAATAGGATGCTGGCCATTTATGTTTGTATTGATGTCTAACTTTACTTAATGTTATTGTTTACTAACTAGTTAAGCAGCCTCCAAAAAGTATTTTGTTTGCTATGCTTCTGCCAATCTCCTAAATCTTTTTGTTCTCTTTCACCTTTCTCTTTCATGTTGTCTCATTTGGTGCACTAATGAATCTTGTTTGACTTACCTCTTTCTCTTCTCCCTGCCTTCGCTTTTTCTGTCTCTTTTCTGCTGACTGCCCTGCTGCAAGGTGGCAAGCTTGCTCGGGAGATGTTCTATATTCTGCAGACAGCTTGTGGGCAGAACTGCACTTCAGAAGGTATTACTGGTGCAAAATACACATATTGTGTCACTGCTACTTTATTCTGATCTGCTTTTATTTTTTTCTCTGAAATGTTTTTTAGGGTAAATTAACAAGAAGCAAACTCTGTGTTTTATTTTCTTCTTGGACATGGCATGTATTGAAGACGTGTTCCTAGTTAGTTACATAAAGGAAACTTATTAACCTCCTGTGACCCAAAGCTCAGTATATCGCGAGCTACAGCTCACACTATACTGAGACTGCCGCAGCCGGGACAGATCCCAACAGTGCTGTTGGAATCCACCCAGTGGCGTGAATTACAGCTGACTTTACCTATCTAGAGGCAGAGCCAGCTGTGCCCGTCCCCAGTGCTCAGTGCTGGAGGATCGGAGAGGGGGAATCCCTGCAGGGAGAGCCGTGACTGACCGTCACCACTCACTGCAGGTAGATGATCGAGAAGTGAGCGAGTGACGGTATGTGTTTGCTCACTTCCCGATCTATGGAGCCGACGTGTGACAGTTTAATTGTCACACATCGGCTCAAACTATGAGGATGAGTGATTTTTACTCACCTCATAGTTCTCCTTTAATATCTGTCTTGCAGTCTGGCTGTTTCAACACTTGTTCAGCCAAACTTCTTGGTTTTTCTGCAGTGTGCAAAACTCCCATTTATACTTATACAGAAAACAAAAATAGCAAGTAATACAGAAAACAAAAAGGATGTTCGTGGCATTTTTGTGCCCTATGCCCGTTATTTAACTTTTCATAGGATTATATGGACAATTGACTTCTGCAAGTGACTCAGAAAACTAGTCAGTCAGGAAAACAGTATGTGAAATAGTTTAACTGGTGGTGAGCATTGTTTTTCCATCAGGTTAGGGAAGGAAGGAATTACCAGCACCCACAGGATGCAAATTAATTGTGTATCTTTATTGAACATGCATTCCATAATCCTGCTGCACTCCTTACTAGGTATCCCTGTCTGCGTGGTTGCTCTAAGTGACCTCGGATGGTGCCGCCAATACTGAAATTTGTTAAAGATGTGAACAGCACACCATGTTGAAGTGAAGAACACGTCTGTTTATTGATGTTTCATATCAAACCAAATAATGTTTCTGGGCCACACAGGGTATTGTCATTTCAAGCCTGATGAAGGGGACCCTGTGTTGCCCAGAAACATTGTTATTTGTTTTTATTGAACATGTGTCACATACATTGATAAAAAAGCCAATGTTTGGGGTTTACGCAGGGCCTCTTCCTCATGGCAATGTCGTCACTATGTCGACCTAAGGAAGGGACCATGTGTGGCTTCAAAACATGTGACGCATGTTCAATAAGGATGCACAAGATATCCGCATCCTGTGAGTGCTGGTGATTCCTTTTGTCCATATCTTGAGAACACATGGCGCCATCTGTGACATCACTTCGACCAACGCTACTTGAAAAGATAGAGGTCTACATCGCCGCAGGCAGTGCAGGTGATAACTACAACACTTGCAGGTCTATTCACAGAAGGGAGAAGGGATTGGAGAAGGCAGGAGAAGTGAACAATCTAGGCCAAAATAGCTGATTTGGAAAAAAGTCCAATTCAGCTCACTTTCCAGTTCAGCTATGTTGTCCTAGATTGTTCACTTCTCCGGCCTTCTCCAAACTCTTCACCCTTTAGTGAATAGACCTGTTGGTTTTCCATCAGAGTCATGGAAAGAGATAATGATCAGGAGGGAATAGAACTCTACTCAGCCATAAAAAAAATGAGTAGACCCTTCCTTAATGAGAACTAGCCAGGGATGGACAGTTGTAAGAATCCAGATTTTCACTTCTAACTGGTATATTGGTGTAAGTTTCCTCTCAGGGTACACGAGTAGGCCTCCCACAGAGGCTGTCCTGTCTAAACTGCTGACAACTTTTTTGGACCAGTGAGAGAGGGTAAAATTTTAAAACAAAACAGAACTTTGAATTTTGCCATATCATAAGTGATCAGTGATGTGCTCAGCCAGGAGCCTTGTTGAGTGCCTTACAGCCAGACAGTGAGCCTACATTTCTTATTTTGAGAAGGAGGGGACACAACTAAATAGCAAATCAAATAGCCACACCTGAGAGCCAAGAATGCTTTTTTAATAAAAATTCAAGAGTGGAAATTGAAAGTATTACAAAGGTCAATTTAAATCTGGTTCTTTTTAAATGTATTGGGTTTTTCCGACTCCTGAAATGGGAGATGAGGCTGTCCAAGCTTTAGTTCACTTGCATTCCAATACAAGTCTACGGGTGTTAAAACCCTAAGGGAATGTGGTGAAATGCAGGTCAGAAGAAGGTCAACTGCAACTCAAATTTACCCTTCAATAAATTCTGAATGATCTCAGAAGTGTCTTAAACCGATGCCAAACTGATGCCATTGACACAGACCCCTAGGCATTTTTGAATGATGGTTGTCTCTTTGCAGAGGTTTCACCCCTTTTTCACCAACTTTATAACCTAATGGTTATGTACTATTGAAGGCAGCAAGCTGTCTGCTGTATATAAGGAGCTGCTATTAGACAATACTGCTTGCAGAGATAGGGGAAAGGCTGCTGCATGTTAGAAAAATCTGTGACCCCTTCTAAAACCCCCTGCAAACTTCCTTTAATTCATGCTGCTGGAAGCCCTCCTGTCCCGCTGCCCTAGGAACAGGCCCAGGATTGCCTTATGCCAAATGCCTTATAGCCCTACTGCTCATGCATTTGTTGCCAAAAGCATTTCTTTTTCTGTAGCTTCTGCCTTTGCTTTTTTGTTCATGTATTTAGAAAAATGTAAGTATCTCAATGTACTTTTCTGAAATAGGATATATTGATATTGCTGTGGAACTGAACTTAAAAAAAGAATTGTTGTAAACAGTTTGGTCAGTCTGTGCAGGAGTGTGGGTAATAGGCAG